GTCAAGGCCTAACCCCCCCACCTCCACCCCCCCTTTAGGACGGGCGCTTTCAGAAATGAAGGATACGCAACTTTTATCGATGGTCTGGTCATTTCAAGATCATTACCTTAAAAAAGTAGGACAAATAATTAATGCAAAGGGGTCCAAACACGATGCACTTAGATTCAATGCAGCAAATAAACTGGGAAATAGTTCAATTTGATTTAAGAAAGCATGAGAACTGAAAGCAGCCCCTGAAGATCTCTGAGCCTAAAGTATCTTATTATATCTATTAAGCTGCTATTAGATTGCAAAGACCCCCAAATAACGACCAGGAAGTCAGAAATATTACGTATTAAGCCTAAAAACAAGTTCATTAGATAGATAGATAGATAGATAGATAGATAGATAGATAGATAGATAGATAGATAGATAGATAGATAGATAGATATGTTATATTACATTATGTAATATTATGTTCTGTTACATTATATTATATTATGTTACATTATACTACATCATGTTATATTATATTATATAATGTTATATTATATAATAAGATCTCCCACCTGCTGCCTCTCCCCCAGGTTTTGCTCAGGAGCGTCAGTTCCAGCTCAACCCTCAGGACGACCTGTTTGGGAACCGTGTGACCCTGGTGTCGGACGCCATGTCGGTCCCCTGCGACGTGGAGCGGGACTCCACGCACGGCGGCCAGATCATGTGTTACACCAGGTACCAGAATCTCTATCTCCGGCTGTGATGGGCGTTTATCTTCTGGGCTGGTTCTGAAAGACCGGAGTGTTGTTGGCCAGTTAGCTCTGACATGAACAGGCCAATTCAATGCTAATTCATGCAGATTTCACTGGAATGTGAACAGAAAGTGTGGATGTTGACCATGAAGATGGGTATCTACAGTAACAGAGAGAAGGAGAATCTGTGGGCTCAGCCAGAGAGTTCTTAAAGGAGTAAGACAATCTCTGATTTACATGGATTATGTGATAGCAGGGGTATAACAAAGTTATCTTTGGTTTTTACCTGAACAGATTTGTGTGTCCTGGTGCTAACTTAGCAACTTTTGATTGTGTTATTGGAGTCTTTGGTTGTTAATTTGTGCGTCCTCTTGCCAACTTAGCGATTTTTGTTGTGTTATTGGAGTCTTTGGTTGTAAATTTGTGTGTCCGGTTGCTAACTTAGCAACTTTGATGCTCTATTTAGTGAGTTTACAGAGCTCTTTAGCGGCTAATTAAAAAAACAATAACAACTAGCAACAAATCTAGCAACTTTTTGTTGCATGATCGGACTCTTTGGTTGTTACCTCATCAGATTTGTGCGTCCTGTTGCTAACTTAGCCACTTTTTGTTGTGTTATTGGAGTCTTTGGCTGTTAATTTGTGCGTCCTGTTGCTAACTTAGAAACTTTTCTTTGTGTTATTGGAGTCTTTGGTTGTTCCCTTATCAGATTTGTCTCCTGTTGCTAACTTAGCAACTTTTTGTTGTGTTGTTGGAGTCTTTGGTTGTTCATATGTGTGTCCTGTTGCTAACTTAGTGACTTTTTGTTGTAAAAAAAATAAG